GCCTGGTGCTCAGTAGCACGGAAGCAGCTGCCTGGGGCTCACGTCCTCTCCCGCCCGCCAGCACTGTGCGCTGCCGACCAGCGAGCGGCCTCGTTGTGACCCCTGCTGAAGCAGTTCCTGAGCCATGGGACAGTTGGGATATTGACGCATAATTGCCTAGTTCTAATTGAGCCTGGTGGGGACTTATATACGAGTAAAGGAACTATTTTCACAACTGCCATGGCTCTTGATACACGAGTGTTCAGGTGGACGAACCCAGCGACTTTTAGCGATTTGTGCTGCGATGATTTCAACGGGTTAGTAGGAAGTGATCTGCGTCAAAGAGAGTACCTGGAAGCTTACAGTGACGACTGTGACACGCCCTCAGCCAGCCCGGCCAGTGTCGATGGGCCGCCCAGCCCCGTCAACCAGCATTACGCCCAAGGCCTCAGCACGCCCACGCCTGTGTACACTGACCTGTCAACGCCCACTTCAAACACATTCACCCCAGCAGGCTATTATAATGACAATGGGAACTATTTCAGCGTGACGGAGCCTGCGAGAGGGCCGACATTCCAGCCGACGGCCGAGTTCCAAGGACCTGCAGCTGGTGTTACTAGTGAGAACAACGGCTCCTTTACACCTGTTAATTATGAGAACTTCTGGCCTAGCGCCGGAGGTGCTCCTCAGAACACTTCCTCCGTCATGACCTCTGCTTACCAGGCCTCGGGTCCTCACAAGCTGGACCTCTGCTCGGACACGCACGGCCATAATCACGACGTCTTCGACCGTAAGCCTCTCAGGATACGCCGACGACAGCCTAAATTCGTCAACGGTGAGGTCAAGAAGAAACGACGTCTTCAAGCCAACGCGAGGGAACGACGGCGCATGAACGGATTGAACGACGCCTTTGAGAGACTCCGGGAGGTGGTGCCAGCTCTCGGCAACGACAGGAAATTGTCCAAGTTCGAAACGTTGCAGATGGCACAGACGTACATCACCGCCCTCGCAGAGCTCTTGAAGAGAGACACATAGGCTTAACTCCCTCTGGTCATCATTTTTTATATCTACAGTTCATCATAGGCCTAGCTGCAGCTGATCTCACCTGTTCATCACACGCATAGGTCTAGAAGCTCGTTAAAGGCCTCGCTCCATCTGTTCATCATCGGCCCTTGCTCCAGTTGTTCAACTTAAGCGTAACAGCTGTACCGAATATGAATAGAGCTGACTTCATCCAAATATGCTATAGTTTATTATAGGCCTAGATCCAACTGTTGAAAGTAGGCCTGGATCTGACTGTTCAACTTAGGCCTAACAGCTATACTGCATATATCAATCTCCAGTTGTTCATTATAGGCCTAGCTCCAGCTGTTTACTATCGATCTACCTCCAGCCGTTCGATTGATGAATTACTTCATTTATTCATCATAAGACTAGCTCCAGCCATCATAGTACTAAATCCATGGGTTTTTATAGGCCTAAATGTAACTTTTCATGATATGCGTGACTCTAGCTGGTATGTGAGAGTATACATTCTAGTGACCATTTTTCATTAGCCATTTCATTTAGTTTCTCATATGCACCAATTATTTATTTAACTGCAATACATTCATAATTTTATATATATATATACACATACTGATACATATAGTGTGCTCTATAATTTGTAAATATATAAAGGGTCACCTTTGTGTTACATTAACATTTAAATACCATCAACAAGATATGCATTGGTTTGTCCTCGTCAATCATTTGCAATCATTCCTAGTTACGAGTTGAGGAACTGTGCAGGCATGAGTTAATTCTGTTTTAAGGATTGTTGCACTGACTAAATTAATAAGTAGATGAAGTTACATCAAACGATTCGTCAGGAATCCACGATGTCACAATCGGTGGATGTTCTGCCTTACAAAATATTAATGGGGAGATTGATCTATTTTTTTTTTGTAGTTCTACTTATCAGATGTCGTGTGAGTTATGGTTGAGGCAACCCACCCTTTCTTAGCTTGTAAGTTACCTGCAATCTGTGATATGTTACTATAAGAGAATGTTATAACCCATCCTACGTTGTTGATTTTGTTGTTAACTGTGTAATAAATGCCAATGATCTTACAAGTGTTTTTCATAGGCCCTCGTATTAATTTTTGTTTATTTTGACTTAAACCTGACTGGTTTAATCTTTTAAAATATTAAAAGTTAATTTACTAATTTTCTGTTTACCATTTTTTCAAGTAAACTGACAATACGCTAAATATATGAAAGAGAAAGAATAATCAAGGGACATTGAGGTGCATCTACACTTCTTGGTGCTTATATATGCATACTGAGAGTTGATTCTAGTTCTGGACTATATTCATGATTGATGAATATACATACTTCATAAATGTCTTTCATGACAAAACATACTGGTTTATCATGGTGGTCTTGTGGTGCCCCTTAATAACCCTGCAGAGGTTCATAGGCCATGCCATCATGAATCGAACCAAGTCTTCTTAAATCATGCTGCAGCCTGCAAGAGTTTAGTTGAACATTATCAGACATGTGTCTTTCTCTATTTTAATAAAATTAAATAATATAGATTTATTCATAATAGTGTTCAGACAATATATATTTTGTTTAATTACAAGGCAAGATATGCAAAGCTTCTTTTATATATAACAAAGAATTACTTAGTTTTGGAGTATAATTAATGTCCCGGATTCCATGACATTTATACTCATCAATAAACAAAGTTCTCTAGGTGACTTACATCGAGATGAGAATAAAAACAAAAATATTTCTTCAGTTTTATGAAATAACACGAAAATTTAAGACATGCAAATGAGAAAAGTTCGTAAAAAGGAGAAATTAATTAATAGCCAAATAATATTGTTACATATTGTGCAGCTTTTCTCAGCATATTGTCCTAATAAACTAAAATATAGATTAAACGCTGACGATATGAGCGGTCTCGCTAGTGCAAGACGATTACATTATTTGAATTAGACCTATGTTATATCGCGAGACATAATCCACTGATACAAATATTACACAATATTACAAATATTAAATATTACAACATTATATAATATATATATAATGTTGAATACTACCGAAAGGTTAAGATTAATGATTCTAACACGAATCTTCTTAATATTTTGTTTTTCTTCACTGGCGAGGGAACTAAACTACACCCTTCCTTGGTCGACACCCATCCCTGATCATCCCTTAATTCTGGTCCACATTTCCATCGCAGGTCCACACCAATGTCTGGTTCACACCTCTCCTTGGTCCACCCGCAGTTCCACACACTCGTCTACACCACACACTGGTCCACGCCACACCTGCATATAGATCCACACTACAGTACTATTTACTCATTAAATGAAAACTTAGAGAAACACCATTCAAATGTTCGACAATTTAAGATCTTGATCAATAAGCTTGTCGTGACCAAATTGCCACCAGTTGCAATTCTTACAAGTCGATGACCTGGCTTTGATGCCTTATAAGAAGCACAATAATAATAAAACTAGAAAGCCCTTGCTGTTAAGAACAAAATAGCTTCAGAAATGCGATAATATTTAAAATCTATGTAAATACTTCCTCTTAAGACGCAGGACTGGATTTGGTAACAGACTACAAATATCATAGTTTGGGCTTACGAGAAGGAAAGTATGAGGAGAAAGGCCTTACTCAGTAAAACTACGTAGAAAAGAGATACAAGGAAGGATGACCAACCAACAAGAAGCGAGACCTTTCTCTCTATCGATAAGACCAAGTGGTTGGTCTGAGGTCACGAGAAGAACAGCTTCGATAATTGAATAAGTGCACGAGTTGAATACCAACATGCAAGTTTGACGTTATGTTTGAACAAAACGATCCTTTTGAACCCGGGCAGTGAGGTTCAGCCCAGCCTATGTGGACCTACATTGATCATATAGGATGTTGGATATTTCCAACATCGAATACAACATTGTTGTATTCTCATTACTTATTACTAACCATATTAATATTGTAGTAAGTAAAATTAACAACTCGTAGAATTCTCCTGTACTAATAATTCATCTGTGCATTAGGCTAGAATTCTCACGTCATCTGACGCTAGTATTGCGTCAGATTTCTTTACAGTAAAACACATTATATACAATTTGTGTGAGAATTAAATACGATTCTCCATAATTAAAGCATTCTGTATGACAACTGATTGCAGACGAATTGTTCTCTAACTAAAAGCCGAATAGAGCTTTAGAATCAAAACGTTTACCTCGCGATAGAGGTAGCGTCATCAATGAATGCTATGGGGAGACATTAATTCCTCTCCCTTGTATCTTTACTATTCTTAAATAGTTAAATAATAATATTACGTTCCTCTAAATAATAAACCCGTCCAGTCTTTAGAGTTTCAAGCGCGAATGCGAGAAATATTAATGTTCATGCCAATAATTTGTGTAATGAACGTCGACTCGGCGTGGGTAGGAGGGACGCCATGCCATCCTCAGTACACGTACACGTGGGGAACCAAAGAGAGGCAGACCTGCGCTTAACGTACTCACAAAAGACTCCATTGTCCAGCAAATAGGACACGTGTGTCCATCCACAGATGAAAGCCGCCACTGTGAGGCGTGAACGACCTTGCAGATAGTATCTTCAACTAGTGCTGGTGTTAAATAAGGGACCCCTAGACTTGGTTCCTGACGACACGTGATCAGCCAGCTTGAAACGCATCCATCCAGCCTGGGATGCGAAATCACGGCAATCTTAATACTTATACAGTGCCCACAGCTAAGTACCTTTTATTTGATGCATCATTTACAAGTTTATTAATAGCGGGGTGATTGCACGTCACGCGGCAAGACAACACCTAATAACAGGTGATAAGATTATTGATAACTACAGATAAAATTCTAGAATATGTATTGAGTAGTTAAATCAATTGCTACTGGTAGTTATTTATTTTGCAGCTCGAGAGACGAATTCCTCATGCTGTCTTCTCCATATTAACCGTGTCATTCGTCGGTGTACCAGACTTGGAGATTAAGAGGACTGCCAGGGTTATCTAAAGGAATCTATTACCAGCTAAGGCTTATTTCTTTTTATTCATAACTATGCAATTTGATACATTCAGAATGTACAACATAATGTGTGATTTACTGTAACTCATTATTATGCTCATATTCATGTTCTTCTTTGTATGAATAATATTATATTCAACATTAATTATAGGATTAGATTATTATTAATAGAATTAGTGAACGAACCACACTGATTCCTGGACGTACTTACCTCCAGTAATAACCCCCCAATGTAGGTGTTTGAGGTTGTTTCTTTAATAATACAGCCCATTAATTATTCTTATCATATTTCCTAGTTATATCCATAGTCACTGGTTTCTCTAGAATTTTATCTAATGATCTGAAATTCTCAGTTTCCCTCTTTACTTTAAAAGCGGGTGGTCCTTCGTAATTTAATTTACTATTTTAATTATTAATTAATCAGAATCAAACCCAAATATCCCACATAGGAATCCAAAAGTTTTAAACTATTGTACTGGAAAATTTAAACCATGAATAGCATCACATGAGAAAAAATATAAAATTTCTGCCTTGAAAGAAATCTTGAACATATCAGTACACTTCGAAAACCCAAACTGTAACGGATACCTTTTTTTAATTTAGATTTTTATAAGCAAAAGAGGATGTACATTCCAACATACACTCGAAAGAGTCGTTAAAATATCAGACCTACTTATGGGAAATGAAACTAAGATGTGACCTATACTTAACCTTAATATTTACCAAGTATAGATTACCTAATAAGGATAGGGCATTACGTTTTAATAAAGTGCAAGGTAAGGAAATGTATTCATCAGAAGCAAGATCTCTCAGGTACTCCACTAATATGGTGAACTTGTAGTACACTGTCAGGTACTCTACAATTATGGTGAACCTGTAGTACACTGTCAGAGTACTCCATTAATCGGGAGAACTAAGAGTTAAATTTAGTGTACTTACTGTACAGTCGCTTTTTTTTAACCTGATAGACAGGTAATGTTAAATTATAAGCATTGGTGGAGGCACCGGCTGGGGACAAGTACTGGGGGAGACACCGGCTGGGGACAAGTACTGGGGGAGACACCGGCTGGGGACAAGTACTGGGGGAGACACCGGCTGGGGACAAGTACTGGTGGAGACACCGGCTGGGGACAAGCACTGGTGGAGACACCGGCTGGGGACAAGCACTGGTGGAGACACCGGCTGGGGACAAGTACTGGTGGAGACACCGGCTGGGGACAAGTACTGGGGGAGACACCGGCTGGGGACAAGTACTGGGGGAGACACCGGCTGGGGACAAGTACTGGGAGAGACACCGGCTGGAGATGAACCTTCATTACTCCTGACGCTTCGAAAGTTTTAACCCAATCTTTAATTGTGACAAATTATTGTGACACTGTCATTGTTAATGACAATGACGTCTTGATGGGGGATACTGAAATTTTATGACTGAACACACACGATTTGATAATGGTTCAAGAGGGACCGAAACGTTGTCGTTTCTCCATCTTCTGGTGTGTGGTTTGGTCATCATGTCTTCAGCCACGTTATTGTGACTCATCATTTGCACATGACAACATTACATTACCCAAATAATTGTTATATATTGAGGATAATGTAAACAGTTTTTATATTAATTGAAAATGATGTGCTCTGTTGGGCTTCGGTGAAATCATAAAGCGTTCAGGATTTTTGTTTTATATATCCAAACACTGATTACAAAAACCTCGGTTTTCAAATTCAATGTCACATAATGAATTATATTTTGAAAAGCTGTATTCTATTGTTTGTAATTCATACATGTAATTTATTTTACCACAATCGTTTTCGTGTCATAAAACACGAAAGCGACATTCCCAACAAGTTCGTGTTAGAGGTCGCGTCTGGAGAACTACTGGGCGTCGGGATACATAACCATGCAAACAGAATATCAGTCAATTTGCATCATAATACAACTCATTGTGCTCGGGACAGAGGGCAAAAAGCGCCACCTTTTGTCCACCACCGTTTATAGCGAGCGACGGGGGCAATAAGGCCATAAAACGCCATAATACCATCACAAAAACTCTCGCCGAAAGA